CCTCTGAAGAGCAGCCAGCAACAAGACTTCCATGTAAATCATGCACACTGTCCTGTCCGGTATTCATCCATGGCTTAACATCCCAGCTCCTTCCTGTAGCCACCAAGGCTCTCCATGATCTACTTTCTGCCTGTGTGCCCTACCTTGCTTGCTAAGCTGCCTTGCCTTTAATTCCTCCCTTCCAGCAGTCCTGGCCTCTTCCCTGTTCCTCAAGCACACTGCAGTGTGAGAACATGGGCGGACTGAAATGTCAGATTCTGTTGAGAGGAACATAAGGAAATACTAGAAAGAGAGGAGACTTATGGGGTGAAAGCCTTCTGAGAAGGTGGAAGGGATGAGGCAAAACCCAGACCCGAGGCTTGGTCATGGGCCACAGGAGACTCCTCCTCCAATCCTCCAGGAAGGAGACCAGGGTGGTGTAGAGGTAGTTTCTTCGAAGGAGGCTGCAGTGAGGAAACAAAAGAGAAATAAAGGATGATGGAGACCACAAAAACCTTACTGCAGGATGGAACAAGGACAGGGGATTAATGCTTCATAATTCACTCATCCATTTATTCAACAGATATTTATTGATCTGCTATTTTCCAGGAACTGGTGTTAGGCATTAGTGTTGTCAATGACTTTCTTTTGCTTCGCCATTCAACTTAGAAGCAAAAAGGCACATTCATTCATTGAGGTCTTGGAAAGTCTCTCTAGGTGCTGAGTCTGGTTCCTATGACCAGAATAATAATGATAGCTCCGCTGCTGGTTAAAATAATTAAATATGGGGTGCTATAAAAAAGTTTTACATCTATGAAAAGTGGTAGTGACGTGGTATCTCTGTGGAGAAAGGGGCCATGGCTACTTTGTTAGCTATTAAATTGTTGGTAAGTGGTTGTTTATTGAATGAATCAAGGAATCGATGAACAAATCAATCAAGCAATCAATGAATGCATCAACGGATGATGAATGGAGCAGTTTTAAGAAGGGGTTTTGGTACTTTATAGATTTTGTGAAATTATTGGAAATATTCTTACTGACACAGTAACCTGAGTAATTCATACCATGGTGATTGACTTTTGCTTTAGCTAAATCCTGAGTGCTCCAGCTGTGGGAACACTCTGAAGTTACAGGATTTTGCACTCATCTGAAACATGGTGCCCTGAGCCCCTTGGGCTCCTGTCTCTGCTCTGCTCTCTCCGGTACCCCTGCCCCTCTTCTCGTAAGAAGCACCAAGCTAGGCACACATGCTTTTGTGGCTGCTGGCTCATAGGCTGGGTACCATTCCATTCCAGAGGCTGCAGTTAAAAGATTTAGGATTCAGTGAGCTCTTGACAGGCTGGCAGTGAGCTGCAGCAGGGGAGATGAAGTAGAATGGGCTCCAGAGGACCTGAACACTGATGTCTAAGAAGCAAAGAACAAAGAATGGATGGGAAGAAAAGCCACCCAGCTGCTCCCGTGCTGAAGAAAGGGCAACAGCCCACCGCAGTGGTGCCTGGCTGCACCCCCAGCACTCTGGGAGGCTAAGGCAGCAAATGAGACTGGGCACAGTGGCACACACCTGTAATCCCAGCACTTGGGAGGCTGAAAACAGGAGGATCACTATGAGTCCATTCTGTGTAGTGAGACCCTGTAGACCCTGTACTAAATACTTAAAAAATAAATAGATAAAATAAAATAATGAAAACATAAAAAGAAGCTGGGGATATAGCTTAGGGCAAAGACCTTAGGCTCAATTTCCAATATTGCCAAAAATGAAGGCATAAACACATAAAAATATATATCCCAGGGGCCAAAACCTGGGAAAGACCATGTGAAATTACCTATCTGCATGTGATCTATTTTGCATGAATATTTAAAACATTTATAATATAGGACTTTCCATAATAAAATAAAGGAGTAGGGGCTGAGGAGATAGCTCTGTGATCTAAGTGCCCGCCTGGCTAGCACAAGGACCCGGGTTCCATCCCCAGTACCTCATGCTGTGCTGGTCCCATGTCCAGGCATACCGTGCTGGCCCCTGAAATGGCACGATGGTGTCCGCCTACAACCCCAGTGCTGGGGAGGCTGAGACAGGAGGATCACTCTGGGTCTGAGCTACACAGTGAGACCCTGTACTGAATAAATAAGAAAATAAAAAAGATTAAAAAGAAAACCAAGGGAGTAAAGTCTATAATAGAAGCCGTAGTCAGGCATACGTTGGCACTTTTCTGGTTGATAACCATCCTCTACATCAGAAAACACTGTTGATACCACACGCCAGAATCAGAATTGATTTTTCTACACCAGTCTTTTAGTTCAGCCTTTCCATTTGGTGAAAAACAAAAAATAAAACAAAACAAAAAAGAAATTATTAGTCCTTCACTAAGGATTCTCGAAGACAGCTGGTTTATATTTAAAACAATTCAGGCACGAATTGGGTGCTATTCAAAATAATTTATATGCATTATCACATTTAATCTTCATTACAATCCTGCATGAGATGGACTCTTCTTAGCCTTAACTCTTAGCTGAGAAATGAAAGAAGTAGATTCACCGAGGTTCTATGTGTAATCAGATTTTTTTTTCAATGCCTTTGAACTGAACTACATCCTTAGCTCTGTTTTTATTAGTGTTAGTATTAGTATGAGTATTTGAGCAGGTCTTGCTAGTACACTCAATTGCCCAGGCTGGGATTACGCTGGAAATCCTTCATCTCTGCCTTCCACATTGTGTAGATTACAGGTGTGCCTGGTGACCATAACTGGCTATAACCAGAACCCTGAGATCTGCTTCCCACAGCCTGTGTTTCTTCAACCCTCCTGCCTGGCTGAGGCAGTTCAGTCTGTTGAGCACCAAGCCAGCACACAAACACAAGGATGATCAAAATCCCTTGGAGAGGATGTCATTCACGACAAGCACGGCCACTAACGGCCAGGGCTGTGGCTTCAGTCTGAAAACACCCCACTCCTGAACCATTGCACACTAACAAGGTCTAGCTCTCTGGATTTCTTACTAGACAAATTCCTTTTGCTTAATAGAGGTACTTGCTGCTTGCTGTGAAAGCTCAAAACCCAGCAGCAATTAATTATTGACAGAGCATGTGAATTAGAGATAAAAGAAAACTCATTCTTCCTCTACACAAGCGATAGTAAATAAATTTAATTATGGTAGGAGAAGCTAAGGGATCTTCGTTTGTATTAAGTTTTATTAGGTGAGACATTTAAAAGCATGTCATCGTAACAAAGAGGTCTTGTGTAATCCTAAATGTACCTCTTCGGTGCAAGGCGTGGAAGTGAATAGGCTTAGGCTTACTGACAAGCCTGTTGGCAGATGGCCCCCTATACCGACAGGTACTGAACAGACTTATTGTCAGTGAATGGGGTCTGCCTATGTGTGCAGCGAGCTGACTACGTAACAGGAATCTTAGCCTCGTTTCTTCACTGAGAGGCTCACTGCATCGGGGTGGGAGGGGCAATGGCGTGCAGCCCCTTTAGTGTGTCCCAGATAAGATGGGCCATTCTGAAGGCAAACACAGACAGAAGACTGGGCTTGAAACAGCACTGCTGTTAAGGGAACCAAGAGACATGGGCTCTGGGATGAAGTCTGTGTGCATCAGCTTTCTATTCCTTTAAGAAGTACCTGTGGTAATCACCTTAATCAGGAAAGTTTCTACTGGCTCATCATTTCCAAGGTCTCAGTCCACAGTTATCAGTTCCATTGCTTTTCGGTCTACAGTGGTATTATGGTGCAGTCACTGGTACAGGAGGGCTGGTCGCCTCATGGCCAGATATGGAAGAAAGAAAACAGAAAGCAAGAGACTGATCCCCAATGCCCTCCATGGCCTCAATTCTGACCACAAGGCACTACCTCTTGAAGGTCCTACCACCTCCCAGTGTGACAAAGACTGGGCTAACCCCGCAACACAGGAGACTATGGGGGAAGTTTTAAATTGAAAGCATAGCAGGACCTCGCCTGCAGCTTGCTGGGCAGCCTTGCAACCAAAGGCAGACACAAATCTCATAGAGAACCAGCCCCAGGTGAGGTGCTGTGACTTTGCATGCCACTGTATTCTCAACCAGACTTGAGCTAAGTGTTAGGGTTTTACAAATGAGGATGATAAGGTTTTCTTGGTGATGTGACTGCATTTGTAGGTTGTGTGACCTGTCTGGTGTCAGTCCTTTCTCTGTCCCTGGCTTCTGTCTCCTCATAATTATATCGCACACTGTATCTTTGGGCTAAATCAGGGATCAGAAAACATCCTCTTAACTGGCCAAGTCGTGAACATATATCAGGCTGCACAGGCCAGAGTCTCCCTGTCGCTGTAATGCAAAAGCAGCCATGGGCAAGAAGTAAAGGAACTGAGGCTGTGTCCCAGGGAGGATTTCTTCATGAACATCAAAGTTTAAATTTGATATGATTTTCATGGATCAGTCTGTGTTATTATTGTCATGCTTTTCTCCAACATTTAAAGATTACAAATCCTTCTTAACTGTGAATCATACAAAAACAGGAGGCAGGTAATGGTGCACCAGCCCTAGACGAGATAATCTTCAATGTCTTGTGGCGCTCCAACATTTGCTGAAAGGCACTAGGACAATAATAAGATCCTTCATTTATTAAGCACTTGCACATGCCACGTTCGGTACTAAATGCCTTTCAAACATGATCTCCCTTAATCCTTACGCTACAATGTGAAGTCAGTGCTGTCCTTATCTCCAATTTAGAGCTCACAAAACCAATGTGCAGAGAAGTGAAGGGCATATCCAGGTTCAACACGATTACAAGAGGTAGAAAAGCGACTTAAACTGAAGGGTATAAGGTTCCCAAGAAAGAATGCGCAGCCTTAGGCCACCTTTTCTGATAATTACCTGCCTAGTCATGACTCTAGTGAGAACACACAGATAAATGAAACCCTAAGCATTTATGAATTTTATTCTGTGGCTTTCCTTGGGTTTCTTAGACCACACATTTTGTGCGAAGATGTGAAAGCATTGCTAGGTAGGAGTAATGATCTTCTCTCCTTTTACTTCCTCTTCCAGAAATGTGATGCCCAAGACTCTGGATGGGCAGATCACCATGGAGAAGACCCCAAGTTACTTCGTGACCAATGAGGCTCCCAAGCGCATCCATTCCATGGCCAGGGACATCAAGCTGATCGTGGTGGTGAGGAACCCGGTGACCAGGGCCATTTCTGACTATACACAAACGCTGTCCAAGAAGCCTGAGATCCCCACCTTTGAGGTGCTGGCCTTCAAAAACCGGACTCTGGGGCTGATCGACGCATCGTGGAGCGCTATCCGGATTGGGATCTACGCCCTGCACTTGGAGAACTGGCTCCAGTACTTTCCCCTCTCCCAGATCCTCTTTGTCAGCGGTGAGCGACTCATAGTGGACCCTGCCGGGGAAATGGCCAAAGTACAGGATTTTCTAGGCCTCAAGCGCGTCGTGACTGAGAAGCATTTCTACTTCAATAAAACCAAGGGATTCCCTTGCCTCAAAAAGCCGGAAGACAGCAGTGCTCCACGGTGCCTCGGCAAGAGCAAAGGTCGGACTCACCCGCGCATCGACCCTGACGTCATCCACAGACTCCGGAAATTCTACAAACCCTTCAACATGATGTTTTACCAAATGACGGGACAAGATTTCCAGTGGGAACAGGAGGAGGGTGACAAATGAGGATACAGCTGTGGTGGGAAGGCTAGTGAATACCAAGGAGGTTCTTTACCTAAGACCTGAATCCCCCAGGGTCTGGGAGTGCCAAGTGGGTCTCCTCTTTTATGCAGTCAGGATGGTCTCCAACGCGGTTGGCTGGGGCAAAGGGATGGATCACACCGCATCCCCAGGGAGGAACCAGGCTTGATGTCTCTGGTTGACCAGATGGCCACAGCACCTACCATTGATTCTACTAGTCAGTGGAATGTGAAGACAGCGCAGATACCTGTCAGTGTCAGAGACAGCGAGTGCATGAATGTTTGTCTAAGTGGCAAAAAAGAAAGACCTGCGGGGGAGATAGTGCAGTGGTATAAGCACCTGCCTGACCAACATAAGGTCCTGAGTTCAATCCCCTGTACCAAGAAAATAAAAAGATCTACTTTATAGTATCTCCTTTGTTAGTGGGGAACTTAGGTTCTACACCTCTGTCGGGCTCTGGCACCTGATGTCTAAACTTCTGCTTTGGCTTACTCCAAAATGCCCTTTTCACTGAGTGCTCCAGGACTCCTAGGGAGCAAGGTCCTCCTTCTATGGCATTTCTAGCCTCATCCCATGACCTCTGACTTCCTCCCTCCCCACTCCATGGAGGCAGAGGCATGCACCTATGTTTCTCACCGAAATGATAGCTAACACCCCTGGAAGCTGTCTTCCGAAGAGCCCACTAAGGGCTTACACTTCATGAGTAACCTAGAATTAAGGAGAAGCTCTGCATCTGTCAGAATCAGGGCCACAGGGCTGTCCTAAGAGCGGGACAATTACAACAGAGTCCAGAGCTCTGAGATCGGTGGAGATAAATGGCCACATAGAAGGGAGAAAGAAGAAATTGAGTCCTCTGGGTGAGAGGGTTCCTTTCCCAAAGACCTACTCCCCCAGGCACCATGGTCCCAAGGCATGCTTTTGAGATAGACTCTGTCCCCTAGAGTCGCCAAAGAGGCAAAGCCCCATAAGTTGGTGTGTCTACTGTTGTGACTCGCCCCCAGTGAAGCAGTGGGGAAGAAGCCGTCACCCTCTGTTTGTCTTACCACGGCTGTTCAGGGTCACCTCATGGTTCATTTTCTCTTCTCAGCGATGGTATCTAATGGGACAATGGCAAGAGGGCTGATTCCATTTGTCAGATTCAGTTGGGGGTGGGTGGGAGAGGTCAAGGGCTGTCTTCAGACACCCCTATCAAGGGCTGCCAAATAACGTGTCCCTTTCCATTAGTTCGATTCAATTAAAAATACAGCATTCGACATAAAGCACTTGTCCACATATCTCCAAAACCAAGAATTGTTCTAGTCAAATCGGAAATTTGTACAAATGGGGGATGTTAAATCTGTTCCGCTGTTATTAAACTGTCATTTCTCCCGCTAAATGAAAACTGTGTTGTTATAAAGCTTAATGCAACCTGATTAATGGGTTTCAGTGGTGTGTTTGTACTGATTGTTTCCACCATCACCCCTACTCTGGATTGCTGGGAGGATCCTTGCTGGGGTGACCAGAAGGCACAAGGTTTTAGAGACTTGGAGAATGCTGTCTGCACGGGAGGCTGAACCTTGCCAGAGCACAAAAGAAAGTGTCTCCTGGGAAGAGAGTGCACTGTACCCTGTCGCAGTCAGTCCTGGTTCGGGCTGACTGGGACAGCAGATTCAGAAAACAGCCTTACAAATATTTTTTTTTTCCAGGTCAGAGCTGAAAGCACCAGATACACATGCAGTACCAAAGTCAAGGAAGACACAGATCACAGAGCACCCCACCCACCGGGAGGAAGAGAACGCATATGTGTTCAGAGGGGTGCGCTGCGGGTTCGGCTGCTTCCCGGCCCTGCGTTATGAGCAGAGCAATGGGAAAGCGAGTTGAAGCTGGTTACGCCTCTGACTCACCTCTGGATATTGCTCAGTGCACAGCTAGCTTCCCAAGCTCCGTTTCAGATCCGGTGAATCAGAAATTTTAAAGTAGGGCCTAGGCATCAAGCCTTTCAAACATTTTTCAGGGAAGCTGGTACTGAGAACAACCAGAGGGAAGTGCTGTCTCCATACTGCTTTACCCCATCTTCTTCCCTATCCTCTTCCTTTTATGCTTTTCTGGGAGTGATTTCAGAGGTAAATGGCCACCAGGATTTAATGGTTACATTGCTGGTTTGTCTTCTTTTGGTGCTCAATAGCAACTAAGTAAAAGGGGAGAGGCTATAATTTAGACAGTCAGCAGGGTATCTGGTTGCAGAAAGGTTTTAAGGATTCTAAGGTACAGACCAAGAATGACCACTACTGCTGCCTTAGGGGAGTACACTCTGACCTAGCTCTTCAGTCACACGTAAGTCCCTGTATCCCTTCTCCCTGGCTACCTGTCCCCAGGAACCAAGACCATGAAGTCCTTAATGTGTCCTCACATAAACACAACAAGCAAACTCATTCTTTAATAGGATTGGCCAGTAGGTAAAGAGGCCACTTGCATCTGGGGAAATAAAAGTAAGGAAACCCTTCCCTCCTAAGTCACATCAACACTCTTGCATAGAAAAGTGGGCTAAAATTCATTGGAATAAAAAAGGGGCGTGGCCTAAGCCTTTGGCCCTAGAGGATTTCTATTTGTAACAGTCTGATTTGGCAAACTGAGTGGAAGCACTTGGCTCCAAAATGTAAAACAAACTTGGTGCTTCGGAGGGCTCTTTTCATCCATGTTCCTCCGCTTGATCTGGGTGACTCAGAGTGAGCCACCAAGCCGCGTGCATTCCCCTCTTTACTGCTGAGACTGGATGAAGGCATCATCGTGTATGCAGAAAAGCTGAGTCAACAACTTGCTGAAACGGAGCCAGGTTGACAGTATATCTGCTCCATTTAAACGAGAGCCTGGCAACTCCTGGGAGATTGACTTTTGTACTTGATTTCAATTAACAAAGCATAAATTATGTTTCATTTTCTATTCTCTCTTCCCTCCAATGGATGATTCACGACTCTGGAAAGGCTACTGCATGTGACTCCGAGATGAAAGAACAGAGAATTCATCAATTCAGAATGTGCAGCTGTTATTGCTCCCAGAGTTTTGTCTTTTTTTTTTTTTTTTAATATCACTCTGAAGGACTCAAAACCTTGACATCACGATGTGGATCCACCAGCTCACAGCGTAAGAGCTATAATAACCAAACAACCCGACAGTCCCATTTGCCTGTGCCCTGTTTATCTGATCATGGAAACCACGACTTCAGAGTAGGAAAGGTGCAGCTGTTCACGGGATTCCCGGCAACCTGCCAAAGAAGGCCGGGTCAAGCTTTAAGTCCAGTACAGTGAGACCTGCTCAGAGCCGTGCGTCTCTAACACCTCACTGAACTTCCTGGTTCTTCTGGTGTCATCATTTTCTTGCCCCTTCCCATTTGTCCACCCATCATTTTCCAAAGGAAGTCTCCTTTGTCCCCCTTCTGCTGCCAGAAGAGTGCTAACTGGGTTTTGTCTTCACCTCTATCTGCACCAAGGGCAGGTAGAGTAATCATTCTGAACTAGCTATAACACAAGTCTATTCAGTCCTCCCTGGCCAGCCACCTGGAACTTCTATAATGATCCAAGTGAGCTCATGCACGGAAAGCCCTGGGAAGGGATAAAGCGCTTCATCGACACAAGGGATGGTGATGACGGTGGTGACAATGACAGTGATACGGATGCTGCAGTGCTGGTGGTAATGGAGATGGGGATGAGGAGGGTGATAATCGTGAAGCTGGAAGAGGGGGAGGAGGAGAAGAGGTGATTCATATACCCTTCCAGAACAATATGCCTTGACAGAATTCCAGAAGGGTGTCTTCAGGTGACTCTACTGTCTTTTTCACATTGAACAATTACCAGAGAGCTAAAGGCAAATGAAACACCACTGATCTGCATACAGCCCAGACTAGGAGCTGGCTCTTTATAATAGCGATGAATTCTATACACGCAAATGCAAAGGCTCCTCTGTAGTTGGCACCAGGGCCCTTCCTCCTTTCACTCCATTCATAGACGAGTTCTCCTCCCTCTGCCCTAGGCTTTACACTCAAGGACCTTTTAGATATAAGGGGGCCCGAGGATTCAAGCACAGAAGGCCAACCAGATTCCTCTTGAGATGGAAGTGGATTTGAAATTTTCAACAATGTTTCAGGCTATGAATTCAGTGCTAGAAGTTCTTACTCCTAAAATTCTGTATCATTTCTAATTTTTTTTTTGTTTTTGTTTTTGTTTTGTTCTCTTTAAACAAATAATGTCTGGCAAGCACAAGGTCCTGAGTTTGATCTCCTATACCAAAATAAATAAATAAATAAATAAATATTTTTAAAAATAAATTTTAACAAAGAGGTTCACACCAAGGACAAGGATGAGTCAGAGCTGAAGCTCATGCCCAGAAGGGGGCTGGTCTCAGGTCTCTGCAAAAGTTGAAGTCGAGGGATTTCCTCATGTTGTTCTTGGAACAAATTAAGGTGTGGAGAGATGGGTTCATGATTTCCAGTTCCCCATAAGAATGGTAAGTTTCATTTTCAGATGTAAGAGATGCCTGAGTCTCTTTTAAAAATTGTGGAATATTTTACACAGTGAGGCAATAAAAGTACGTCTTGTGTAATCTGGGCAAGAAGTAAAGGTCTACAAAAATGCATCTCTCTATCCCTGGCCTGCCATGTGGGCCCAGCCTCCACCCCTGGAGTGTGCTGAGATGGCCAACGAGACTGGGAGTGGTGGTACATGCCTGTAATCCCAGCACTTGGGAGGCTATAAACAGGAAAATCACTATGAGTCTGATATAGTAGTGAGACCGTGAACACGCTGTAGACCATTCCCTAAAAAATATAAAATGGAATAAAATAAAATAAAACAAAATAAAAAATGCTACTAAGCACAGGTTTGGATACGAATTTTTTTTTTTTTTTTTTAAACTGGGGAATGAACTCAGGCCCTTGCGCTTGCCAGGGAAGCACTTATTCCACAGAGCCATCTCCCCAGCCCCTAAGCACAGATTTGGGATAAAAACAGAAGTAGGCATACAGGACATATTTATCAAAGAAAATCTTCCTGCAGGAGAAAAAAAACTGCATCTTCAAGTGAATATAGTTCATTAATAGACAACATAAACTGCCTGATTTCCTTAGGGTTGCCTGAGACTAGGGTCAGAGGAGGATCTTTTTCCTTTATTGTTCTGCTACTTGTTCACTGTCTATCAAGAAGGAACTGGGGCTGGGGAAATAGCTTGGTGGTCTAGGTGCCTGCCTGGCAAGCGCAAGGATCCAGGTTCAATTCCTGGTACTGCATCCCACACTAGCGATGGGGAGGCTGAGATAGGAGGGTCGTGATGAGTCTGAGCTCTGCAGTGAGGCCCTGTCCCAAATAAATAAAAGATTTACAAACGTTTTTTCTTTTACCTTTTTTCTTTTCCTTTTTCTTGTTTTTCCTTTTTTCTTTCTTATTTCTTTGTTGTACTTTAGGGGAGGGTCTATAGGGTGTTCAGGGTCTCACTACTAGGTCGGACTCCTAGTGATCCACCTGTTTACAGCCTCCCAAGAGCTGGGATTACAGACACATGCCACCATGCCCAGTCTCAATTGCCATTTCAGTGGACCCTGGGGGTGGGGCGGCACTGCCTCTGCACCTACTTGCAGGGGCTTTAATTACATAAGTTTTTTTCTAAAAAGAAAAAGGAACCACCATGCCAATAGAAACTCACCTTTTCTGAAAACATACCAAAGTTAAGAAAAGTTCAAATGAAAACATACACAGAGACACACACAGACACACACACACACACACACACACACACACACACACACTGATGCATCTTAAGTAGATGAGAATGCAATGCAGATTACTCTGTTGACTCAGGGGTGATCAGTAAGTCTTATAAGTGTGCTTTAAACACGGGACCTGTGGGCTTGGGAATTTAAAAGGCTTTTCTCAAAGCTCCAGAGAAACGTAAGGCCTGCATTTCTACTGTAGCACAGTCTGCTGCTCCAGGACTATAGCAATAGGAATTTCAGCACAGCCTGCCCAAGTAATAACAGGAAACCTAATTTCAAAGATATTTTCATAATTGTTTTTCTAATCCCAGGACAGGTCAGCTTGAACATCTTTGATCTCCTGTAATCATCCTGAACCCCTTGGGGGATAATTATTTTAAAAAAGAATTCATTCTGAGTGTTAATTGCAGAGAATGTGACCTGTTGGAAATTACTTGTGAGGCTACTAGTAGTCGAGGGCCTGAACAGTGTTTCATGGTTTGGAATCAGAAAGATCTGCATTGTAAGTTCTCCCTTATTCTGAGTAGACAGGATAGCACCATGTTGCAATAACTCGGGGGGCATGTGTGGCACTGGGTGTGCAACTGGGGGGCTGA